CTCCTTTCTTTCCTTTTTTCCTTCCTTTCTTGGCCACACCCAGCGATGCTCAGGGATGATTTCTGCCTCTGCCTTCAGAAATGATCCCTGCCGGCAGGGCTGGAGCGATAGCACAGCGGGGAGGGCATTTGCCTTGCACGCGGCCGACCCGGGTTCGATTCCCAGCATCCCATAGGGTCCCCTGAGCACCGCCAGGAGTAACTCCTGAGTGCATGAGCCAGGAGTAACCCCTATGCATTGCCAGGTGTGACCCAAAAAAGCAAAAAAAAAAAAGATCCCTGGCTCTGTGCTCAGGGATAACTTTTGGTGCTGGGGGTGGGTGCCCCACAGGATCAAACCTGGGTCAGCTGCCTGGAGGACAAACACCCTGATCACCCGCTCCAGCCCCTCCAGAGCCCTGTCACAGCGCCCTAGGGGGCGAGAGGGTGTGTGTGTGTGTGTGTGTGTGTGTGTGTGTGGGTGTAGGTACAGCCCTTGCCTGCAGCCTATCCGGTTTGATTCTCCAACACCGCCTGGTATACCAAGCACCCTAGGGTGCAGTCTTGGCTGTCCCAATCACCACTGGGGGAGGGTCAGGTAACGTCAGGCACCACATTCTTGGGTCCTGAATCTCTCTGTCACCACTGACCCAACTGAGAATCACAGGGAGGCCCCCTGGGTGTCCTGAGCACCCGTCCCCTCACCCCCTGCTCCCGACTTCCAGTGAATCAGCCTAACAGGGCCCAGGGAGATAGAGCAGTGGGGAATGACTCATTTTCGTGCAGCTGACCTGGGTTCGATTCCCAGCCCCGCATAGCATCCTCCAGTGCCACCAGGGGGCAGTCCTGAGCACAGAGCCAGGGGTCAGCCCTGAGTACCGCCAGGTGTGGCCCCCCCACCCCCCGACGAACAAATAAAATTGGATGCCCAGGGGTTCCTCCTGCCTCTGCGCTCCGCAAGCACTCCAGGCGGTGCTCAGGGGATCCTATGGGATGCCGGGGATCGAACCCAGATCGGCCACATGTAAAGCCAGCACCCTCCCCGTTGTGCTATTACTCTGCCCCATTGGGTTTCCTTCTCGTTTTGGGGGCCACATCTGAGGATACGCAGGACTTCCTCCTGGCGATGCTCGGGGGACCACCATCAGCTCCCCAGGAAAAGCTAAGCCGGGTGCCTTTGTTGGGGAGGGGTCCCCCTTTTCCTTCCTCCGGGGTCCTGTGTGGGGAGTTTCGCCCCGCCCCGCCGCCCAAACCCCACCACTGACACAGCGGTTCCTGCGTTTCCTCCCCAAGGGGCTACCCTGTTCTCGGGTCACCGTCATTTCCTGTGTGATCTTTCAGCTCCTCTGAGCTTGGAGCCTGACCGGGATCGTTTTTTTTAAATTTTTTTCTTTTTAGCCACGCCCAACAGTGCTCAGGGCTGATTCCTGGCTCTGTGCTCAGGGACCCTCTGGGATGCCGGGGATGGAACCCGGGTTAGTCCTGTGAGGAAGATAAGCGCCCTCCCCGCTGTGCTGTCACTCCAGCCCTGGCCCGGCTCCCTGGAAGGGCTTGAAACAGTCCCTGGGCTGTAAGCCAGGGACTGTTTTTCTTTCTTTTTGTTTTGTGGGAACCACGGCCGGGTAGTGCTCCGAAGTGACTCTAGGCAGCCTCACTCAGGCCCACTGAGTCATCCCCATCACACCGAAGGCCAGTTCTCTTCTTCTTTTTCCATGTCTGTGCGTGGGGCCACACCCGGCCGTGCTCAGGGCTGACTCCTGGGTTTGTGCTCAGGGTTGACTCCTGGGTTTGTGCTCAGGGTTGACTCCTGGGTTTGTGCTCAGGGCTGACTCCTGGGTTTGTGCTCAGGGTTGACTCCTGGGTTTGTGCTCAGGGCTGACTCCTGGGTTTGTGTTCAGGGTTGACTCCTGGGTTTGTGCTCAGGGCTGACTCCTGGGTTTGTGTTCAGGGTTGACTCCTGGGTTTGTGCTCAGGGCTGACTCCTGGGTTTGTGTTCAGGGTTGACTCCTGGGTTTGTGCTCAGGGCTGACTCCTGGGTTTGTGCTCAGGGCTGACTCCTGGCGGGGCTCAGGTGACCCTCTTGGGTTCCGGGAATTGAACCCGGGTCAGCCCTGTAGCAGGAAAGTGCCTTTCCCGCCTGTACTATCACTCCAGCCCCCCAGGTGTCATGCCCAGGACTTCCTCCAGGTGCCCTGGGGACCCCATGGGGTGCTGCGGATCAAACCCGGGTTCAGTACATACGCCCATCCCGCTGTCTGGTCGCTTGTGGGGGTGGGGGGCTCTTTCCCTTCTGAGCGTGGCGGGGTTCAGGGGACACTGTGCGGCGTTGGCCACGGAACCTGGGCCGGTGTGGGCAGGGCGGGTGGTCAGATGGACCCCAACGCACCCCACCACGAGTTGCCCAGAGCGGCCTCCTCCACAGGACCTTCTCGGCTGACCTCCCTTCACCTCCCAACCGCCACCACAACTCGGCCAACAATGGGAGATTCTGCCGCCCCCCCCCGCAGCGCCCCCCCTCCCCTTCCCCCCCCCCCCCCCGCCTTGAGCAGAATGACCAAAGACGAAAGCAAAGTGGCTGCGGCAGCTGTGGGCGTCCAGCTCCGTTTCCTGACTCACGATGCCACCCAGCCTGGTCCACCCAGGCATCGCCGCTCAGCCTGCCCACCCCCTCCCTGCAGGCGGCCAGGACAGGGCGCAAGGTCGGTGTGTGTGTGTGTGGGGGGGCGTCGGGAGGGGGATGCCCCCTCTCTCCGTCGACGACTAAATCCCTGATGCCCTCCGCCAGCGGCTCAGGTGTATGTGACTAGCTCCTGGCACGATTGTGGCAGAGTGTGTGTGTGTGTGTGTGTGTGTGTGTGTGTGTGAGTGTGTGACCAGCCCTGCCAGATTGTGGCCGCGGATGGCGTGTGTATGTGTGTGTGTGTGTGTGTGTGTGTGTGTGGAGGCGGGCACACCCCCTCTCCCCGCTGTGACCCCCAAATGCACAAACCCTTTTTTGATTCCCACTCAGAGGTGTCCCCCCCCGCCCCCCACCGAGGCAGGGGACAAGTTGCCACAGTCCTATTCTGCAGATGAGGGAACAGAAGCAGAGAGGGGAAGTGACTTTCTCAAGTTAACAAAGGCTAAGGGGCCACCGGGCTGGGCTGGTGCCCGAGTTCCCAGGAAGAGGAGGTCCCTCCCAGCCCCCCACCCCCACCCCAAGGACCAGCACCCCTCGGGCCCCCTCTTCCATCTGCAGCACCCGCCCACCCATCATCATACGGAGCCTGGACCTGGGTGGGGGGAGCCCCAGGGGTATCTGTTACCTGCCACATCTGGTCCCCCCCAATCCCCCGTCTCCTCATTGCCCCTTCCCATCACCCCGCTTTTGAGGCTGGCCCTCGGGGGACTTCAACCTGGCGAGTGTCGCCCACCCACTCCCGACCCTTTGGAACCCACCGGCTTCAGGACTTACCATGGTGGGTGGCCTCGGGTGGGGGCGCCTTCTGGGGGACGCGTCTGGAGGGGTCTTGGCAAGGGGGCTGCAGACTCAGGGGCCCCCCGGGGGCGGCTGGGGCATGGCCCTGCTCCCTTCCTTACGCTGGACTCTCAGCCCTAGTTCCTCTTAGACAGCCCCTCACCCCCACTTCCTCTGTCGGGAGGGTTGCGGCCACAGGGGAGGGACGCCGTGGGCCCCCGGGGGGGGCGGGGACAGCACCCCAAGAGCAGTGGCTGCGGTGGCCCCACTGGTGGCTCAGAGGCTGAAGGAAGGGACAGCGGGGCAGCTCTTGTCCAAAGCCTGGTGGTGAGCAGGGCACTGATGACCTTTTCCGGGGTGACCTCGGGAGTCATTCGGGCTGCTGGGGTCTCTGCAGAGGACCAAGCGTGAGCTCACCCAGCCTGGAGGCCAGCACGCGCGTGCACGTGGGTGCAAGAGGGGCCGCGCGCGCGTGCATGTGGACGCAGGGAGGCTCGTGCGTCGGGTGGGGTGCGCCCGCGCGCAGGGTGGAGAGGGGCCTCGTGGGGGGGAGCAGAGGGTACCAGGACCCAGGTGCAGACCCCGACTCAGCCCCCTTCGCTCCTGCCAGCAGGGCCAGACACACGTCGGAGGATTCGTGAGGTGGGGGTGCAGGCTCCGATCTTGGCAGGGGTGGGCATCGCCCAAGATGGGACTTTGGGCATCTTGCTATAACGGGGCTCAGCTCGGCAACACCCACCCACCACTACCATGGAAGCGTCAGGGGGGCTCCAGGGAGGAGGTGGTATTTGTGGTGAGACACAGGGTGAAGGGGACCTGGAGGGTCCCTCTGGCAGAGGAAACAGATCAACAAAAGCCCCAAGACCTGGAGTCTTGGAAAGACCAAGGATTTTCCAAGAGATTGGCCGTATAAATACATATGTATTTTGTTTGCTTTTCTGGGGTCCAAAGCGGTGCTCAGCGCTGACTCCTGGCTCTGCTGCACTCAGGGATCACTCCTGGGGGTGCTGGGGGGACCCTTTGGAATGCCGAGGATCGAACCCAGGCCAGCACCCTTTCTGCTGTGCTAGCTCTTCAATCACAAGCTGCTTTATTTTTGCCCTAGAATCTCTAGACTTTAGCGTGTGTCAGAAAAAAAAAAAAGAAAACCCAAAATACCCGTCTTGGGGCTGGAGCAATAGCACAGTGGGTAGGGCGTTTGCCTTGCACGCGGCCGACCTGGGTTCGATTCCCAGCATCCCACAGGGTCCCCTGAACACCGCCAGGAGTAATTCCTGAGTGCATGAACCAGAAGGAACTCCTGTGCATCGCTGGGTGTGACCCAAAAAGCAAAAAAAAAAAAAAAAAAAAAAAAAAAGCCAAAATGCCCGTCTTTGGGCTGTTGGAGGAGGCGGGACCCCCATCCATCCTCAGGGATTGGGAGGGGGCGTGGCTTGCCGTATCCCACCCTGACCCCCCCCCCCCCCCATAGGCAGGAATCTACAAGAGACAGAATTTTATTGATGTCGGGCTTCCTGGTCATGGTCTGAGCCTCACGGCAGGGCCTATAGCACCATCTGGAAGTTGGGGTCCCCAGGGGGCCGGGCAGAACCCAAGCTGGGGGAGGTCTCTGCAGCTCTGCTGCACCCCCCTGTAGCTGAGGGGCGTCCTCGGAGGGAGGGTGTTAGCGGTGCAAACCCCCTCCCCCCCTGCACATCCCAGCAGCGCTGGGGGTTAGGGAGCCCCCCCCCCCGACCCCTTCTCTTCACAGTACAGATTCCAAGCACTGGGGGGCTTCACCGTGAACTTGGGGGGCAGGTGGGGGGTGCAGGAGGTGCCCTGAAGCCAGAAGTCTGCAGGAGGGCCCCAATAAATCACTTCCGGCTCTCTCCCACCTTTCAATCCGTGCTCCCCACCCTGGCTCCTCCAAGGGTGCCCGTGGCCCTCGCCCCCCCACCCCACCCCACCCCGTCCCCAGCCCCGGGCGCTCCCCCTAGCGGCCCTGGCAGGTCTTGCAGCACATCTGGCGGAAGTAGGCTCGGCTGCAGAACTGGAATTTGAGCACCAGGGGGCAGTAGGCGACCTTGTTCACATCCTTGCATTCTGCAAGCGGGGAGGAGGGATGGGGAGGAGGGAGGGGCGGGATTAGCGGGTTAGGTAGGAGCAGTGCCTCCCCTCCCCCGTAGTCCTCCCTGGGCTGAGTTCTGTTTCTGCCCCCTTCCAAGGGGGCACACACGTGACGTGCCTCGCAAGTCTGAGGTCCTGGGGGTCTTTTTTTTTTTTTTTTTTGCTTTTTGGGTCACACCTGGCAATGCACAGTGAGGGTTCCTCCTGGCTCTGCACTCAGGAATCACTCCTGGCGGTGCTCAGGGGACCCTATGGGATGCTGGGAATCGAACCCGGGTCGGCCGAGTGCAAGGCAAACGCCCTACCCGCTGTGCTATCACTCCAGCCCCCACAGCGTTTTCTTTCTTCCTTTTATTTTTTTTGTTTTTTGCTTTTTTGGGTCACACCCGGCAATGCACAGGGCGGGGGTTACTCCTGGCTCATGCACTCAGGAATCACCCCTGGCAGTGCTCAAGGGACCATATGGGATGCTGGGAATCGAACCCGGGTTGGCCGCGTGTAAGGCAAACGCCCTGCCCGCTGTGCTATGGTTCCAGCCCCCGGCGTTTTCTTTCTTTTTTGCTGATTTATATTTTGTTTGGGGGGCCACACCCTTGCAGTACTCAGGGCTGAGTCCTGGCTCAGGACTCTGTACTCCTGGCAGGGGGCTCCGGGGACCCCAAAGGGATACCAGGGCTTGAACCCAGGTGGGTCTCCTGCAAGGCAAGCACCCTCCCCTCTGCACCCTAAAACACATTCCTGCCATGGGAGAAGCATCCGAGCCCACGGGACGACCCACCACGCCTACCTTCGGGGCTGTCACCAGGGGGCACGCTGCTGTCACACTTGGCCTCGCACTGCTGCGTGGCCGGTGGCCGCAGGGCCTCGGGGCACTCATTCGAGGGCTGGCCCGTGTGGCTGGTGCAGGTCACGGTGCGTTGCTGCTGCCCCAGGCCGCATGGTCCAGAGCACTGCGCATGGGGGGGGGGGAGGGAGCCGCTGCTGATTCCGGCCCCACCCACCCCCACCAGCACCTGCATTCTCCCGGGCATCGCCTGCCTACCTCGCTCCACTCACTTGCCACCCATTTGGCGGGGGGACAGCGGCGTAAGTTGCAGCGCAGCGTGGTGGGGGGCTTGGCCGCGGGTGGACAGTGTGCTGGGGGGAGGGTGGCAAGGTGGTCGGCGCTCTTGCACAGAACGACACGGTGGCGCAGACCCGGCCCGCAGCTGGGGGTGCACTGCATTTGGAGAGAGGCGTTTCAGGGTCCAGCCTGGAAGAGCACACAGGGGCGGGAAACGGAGGCAGGAGGGTGGTCTGCAAGGCAGGGGCCGGGCAGGGGGCGGCTGACCTCCGACCACTCCAGGGCGGCCCACTCCGGGGGGCACACAGGACCCTGACAGGCCTCCAGCACCGGGGGGCGAGGCTGCGGGCAGGCGCTGTCGTCCAGCGTCTTCTCCTCCGAGGCGGACACACGGCGTTGGCACACGACGGAGCGGCTGCGCACGCCCGCATCACAGCTGCGGCTGCAGCGGGACCAGTTTCCCACGACCCACCTGGGGGAGGAAGGGGGTGAGGGTGGCTGAGAGGGTCTCGGGGGCACTGGCATGCCCGCCTCCAGGGAAAAGCCAGCTCGGGAGGGATAGTTGCTCTTGCAAATGGACTTGGGGGTGCAGGGGCTGCCCCCACCCTCCGATCGATTGCTTTGCTTTGGGGGGACCCTCTGCAGGACGACCCTGAAGCCCGGGTCGGCCACGTGGGAGTCAAGCGCCCTACCCGCTGCCCCTTCAACTGATGGGCAGCGTTATCCAAGGTCATTATTTGTTTGGGGGGCCACACCCAGCTCAGCTGTGTTCAGGGAGCACACCCGGCGGACTCAGAGCACCAGGATGTGGTGCCAGGGTTCGAGGCCGGGCTGGCCACTTGCAAGGCAAGCTGCCTTGCCTGCTGTGCTATCATTCCAACCCCTGATTTTGTTATTGTCACTATTTTTGGAGAGGCTGAAAATGAGACATCGGCAGGGCTCCCATTCTGGGTCACACCCAGCGATGCTCGGGGGTTATTCCTGGGGTCTGCACTCAGGAATTACTCCTGGCGGTGCTCGGGGGGACCCTATGGGATGCTGGGACATGAACCCTGGTCGGCGGCCGTGTGCAAGGCAAAAACGCCCTCCCCGCTGTGCTATTGCTCCAGCCCCTCGTCTGGTGTTAGGGATGGAATGAATGGGGGTGCCGTCTAGTGGCAGTGGAGAGCTGACCCAGCGGTAGCAAACAGCTGGAGCAGGGAGAAGGTGGAAAGTTTCTGGAACGCTGAGGTTGGTTGTGTCTGGGGGCTGGAGATGGAGATGGAGATGGTGTCCTACGATTTTTTTTTCACGTTTTGAGTCACACACAGCGATGCTCTGGGGTTATTCCTGGCTCTGCACTCGGGAATCACTCCTGGTGGTGCTCAGGGAACTATATGGGATGCTGGGGATCAAACCCGGGTCGGCCGCGTGCAAGGCAAACGCCCTCCCCACTGCGCTATCGCTCCAGACCCCTGGCTCACATTTTTTTTTTGCTTTTTTGGGTCACACCCGGCAATGCACTGGGGTTCCTCCTGGCTCTGCACTCAGGAGTTACTCCTGGCGGTGCTCAGGGGACCCTACAGGATGCCGGGAATCGAACCCGGGTTGGCCGTGTGCAAGGCAAACGCCCTCCCCGCTGCGCTATTGCTCCAGACCCCTGGCTCACATCGTTTTGTTTTTTGTTTTTTGGCATTTTGGGTCACACCTGGCGATGCACAGGGGTTCCTCCTGGCTCATGCACTTAGGAATCACTCCTGGTGGTGCTCAGGGGACCCTATGGGATGCTGGGAATCGAACCCGGGTTGGCCGCGTGCAAGGCAAATGCCCACCCCGCTGCGCTATTGCTCCAGCCCCCTTGGCTCACATCTTTAAGGTCAAGCACTCTACAGCTCGAGCTGGAACCCCACATTCCTGTTCCTGCAGAGGGGAGCCTGAGGCAAACCCAGATTCCACTCAGAGCCCCAGCGCTGCTGTGAGCCCTGTTGGCCCCGCCCACACCCACGGCAAAGCCCCGCCCCTTGATTGGCCACGCCCCTGCAGTTGTCCCGCCCCCTTGATTGGCCACGCCCCTGCAGTTGTCCCGCCCCCTTGATTGGCCACGCCCCTGCAGTTGTCCTGCCCCCTTGATTGGCCACGCCCCTGCAGTTGTCCCGCCCCCTTGATTGGCCACGTCCCCGCAGTTGTCCCGCCCCCTTGATTGGCCACGCCCCAGCAGTTGTCCCGCCTCTTGATTGGCCACGCCCCTGCAGTTGTCCCGCCCCCTTGATTGGCCACGCCCCTGCAGTTGTCCCGCCCCTTGATTGGCCACGCCCCTGCAGTTGTCCCGCCCCCTTGATTGGCCACGCCCCAGTAGTTGTCCCGTCCCTTGATTGGCCACGCCCCTGCAGTTGTCCCGCCCCCTTGATTGGCCACGCCCCTGCAGTTGTCCCGCCCCCTTGATTGGCCACGCCCCAGCAGTTGTCCCGCCCCTTGATTGGCCATGCCCCTGCAGCTGTCCCGCCCCCTTGATTGGCCACGCCCCTGCAGTTGTCCCGCCCCCTTGATTGGCCACGTCCCCGCAGTTGTCCCGCCCCCCCAGCTTATCCCGCCCACGCCCTGCTGTCACTCACTCGGGCGGGCAGGGCTCCGTGTTGCAGGCGCGCTCCCTCTTGGGCAACTTGCTGTGCCCGCTGCAGTGGTGGGGGGCCACCGCCGACCTGTCCAGCTGGTTGCGACACTCCACCGCCTGCACCTGGCTGCCTGGGGGCGGCGAGGGGCCCCGCTCAGTCCCCCTCCCCACCCGTCAAACCCGCCCTCTCCCCTCCCCGGGGACCCCCCCCCCACGCGCAGACTCACCGCCCGCACACTGGGCCGAGCACTTGGTCCAGGGCGCGTAGTGCCAGGAGTAGGGGGGCAGCGAGTCGCGGGAGACGGGGGCGTTGAAACGGTAGCGCAGCGGAGGAAGCTCGGTCTGGGCCAGCACCTGGACAGGGGTGTGTGTGTGTGTGTGTGTGTGTGTGTGTGTGTGTGTGTGTGTGTGTGGTCAGGGTCAGGGGGCGCATCTAGGTGGATTTCCAGCCCCCCCCCCCCCCACAACGCCCTGGGAGGATGCTGGCCTTGCCCCCTTGTTACCATGACGATCAGAGAAGCGTTAATGGGTCCCAGAGCTTCCAGATTCTGCGCCTGATCTGGTCCCTGTCTCAGTTGGAAGGTGGTCCCGGCCAGGGGCAGGCGGTGGGGTTGGGGGGTCCCCGGCAGCCCCTCGAGCAGCAGGGATTCCTGGTCTCCCTTCAGGGCTGGAGGGCAGCATGAGGTTGGGGTACAGGGGTTGAAGGCCAGCCCCGGGGGTGGGGGCGGTCTGCCCTCCTACCTCGCCCCCCAACTCCCCACTCACCCAGGTGGCTGACGGAGAGATTCAGGTCCTGGATGAAGATGTGCACGGAGCCTTTGGGGATCCACACGACCTCCTCGTAGCCTGCAGAGAGGAGCTCAGGGGGTCCCCATCCGGCCCATCCACCCACCTGGCCACCATGCACCCTGGGTTTTAGCTGACTCTGATTCTACTGAGCCCCTACAGGAAACACCCCCCCCCAAAACACACCCACACGCGCACACTGCACCCCTAGCTCCAGCCCTGCAAAGCATCATCTTCCTTTTACAGATGACAGAATGCATGCATCTGCTTTGGCCAGCAAGGACGGGCTCAAGTCCCCTAACTCTTTTTTTTTTGTTTTGCTTTTTTGGGTCACACCTTGCAATGTACAGGGGTTATTCCTGGCTCATACACTCAGGAATTACTCCTGGCGGTGCTCAGGGGACCATATGGGATGCTGGGAATTGAACCCGGGTCGGCTGCGTGCAAGGCAAAAGCACTCTCTCTCCGCTGTGCTATTGCTCCAGCCCCCAAGTCCCCTGACTCTTACCCCAAAGTGACCTTCTTCCCTGCGCCCAGAGAGAAGGGGGCACACGGTGGCTGCTCCCTCCGTCTTGGGCGATTTCCCCCTGCCCCTTGCCTAATTTAGTTGCCCCTGGTCAAGTTGCCTCTACTCCTTTTGATTAGTTTGTTTTTGGGTCATGCCCGGTGGTGCTCAGGGCTGACTCCTGACTGCACTCCGGGATCACTCCTGGCCGCCTCGGGGACCCTGTGGGATGCTGGAGATTGAGCTGGGGTCTGCAGTGCACAAGGCAAGGCCCTCCCTGCTGGACTGTGGCATCAGCCTTTCCTCCACTTTCTCGCCTAACACACCCATCCCCATTCCCACATCCAGAGGAGGGGAACCCCTCAGGGGTGGGGATCAGGCCTGAAGACCCCCAATCTCTGTCTTCTTTCTGCTCACCTCAGAAACGTCCTAATATCATATTCCCATCCCTCCAGCAACCAAACCAGCAATTTTTTTTTTTAATTTGTTTTTTGGGCCACACCTGGCGATGCTCAGGGCCAACTCATGGCTCTATACTCAGGTCACTCGTGACGGTGCTCTGGGGACCCTTTGGGATGCTGGGGGCTGCATAAGGGTCAGCGGTGTGCAAGGCCAGAGCCCCACTGCTGTACTATCTCTCCGGCCCCCAAAGCAGTATCTTTCCTGCATTCCCCGCCAAGTCCTCTTTTTTTTTTCTTTTGGTTTTTGGGTCACACCCGGCAATGCACAGAGGTTACTCCTGGCTCTCCACTCAAGAATCACTCCTGGCGGTGCTCAGGGGACCATATGGGATGCTGGGAATCGAACCCGGGTCGACCGCGTGCAAGGCAAACGCCCTACCCGCTGTGCTATCGCTCCAGCCCCTCTAATTTTATTTTTAATTTTATTTATTTATTTATTTATTTATTTTGCTTTTTGGGTCACACCCAGTGATGCTCAGGGGTTACTCCTGACTCATGCACTCAGGAATTACTCCTGGCGGTGCTCAGGGGGACCATATGGGATGCTGGGAATCGAACCCGGGTCAGCCGCGTGCAAGGGAAACGCCCTACCCGCTGTGCTATCACTCCAGCCCCCAAGTCCTAATTTTGTGCGGGAGCCCCATGGTACTTCAGCACCCCCCAGGCACCTTCCCCCAATTCCTCGCTCACTCTCTCCTCACACCCATTATCCCCTTGCCAACGCTTTGGAACACATCTCAACTACCTGTTCACTGTCTCCTCCAGACTCGGGGCTCAGGGAGTGGACCACATGTCACACCCCATCTAGGTGGCTGGGAGCTGGATCCGGGGGACCCTTTCCCACCACCCTTGGGAGTAATTCCAGCTTCTACTCTCATGACATTTTCTATGTCCCACCCACCCCAGAGACCTGGGGGTCTCTCTCCTTCATTTTAAGACTGGGTTCCCAGCGGGTAGGGCGTTTGCCTTGCACGTCGCCGACCCAGGTTCAATCCCCGGCATCCCATATGGTCCCCCGAGCACCAACGGGAGTAATTCCTGAGTGCAGAGCCAGGAGTAAGCTCTGAGCATCACCGGGAGTGACCCAAAAAAGCAAAAAAAAAACAGAACAAAGACTGGGTTCCAGGGGCTATGTTCACCCCACTTTCCTTCTTGAGTGAGGGTGGGAGGTTTGGGCCACACCTGGCAGTGCTCAGAGCTGACTCCTGGCTCTGTGCTCAGGGATCACTCCTGGTGAGGCACGAAGGAACATATGTGGGAGCCAGGGATCGAGCCTGGGTCAGCTGCGTGCAAGGCAAGTGTCCTAACTGCTGTACTATCTCTCCGGCCCTCAGCCCACTTTCTGAATGTGCTCCCTGACCCCCCAATAAGCTTTTTCTTGGTGAGCCGAGAGCCCCCCCCAAAAAAGGGCCCTTGGAATGGATGAGATTCCAGCACCCACCACTTGGACCTGTTCATTGTCCACAAAGCCCAAGGCAGTGGGGTCAGAGCCATAGCACAGCGGGTAGGGCGTTTGCCTTGCACGCGGCCGACCCAGGTTCAAGCCCCGGCGTCCCACATGGTCCCCTGAGCACCGCCAGGAGTAATTCCTGAGTGCAGAGCCAGGAGGAACCCCTGAGCATTGCTGGGTGTGACCCAAAAAGCAGAAAAAAAAAAGCCCAAGGCAGTTCCTGACCCTGGTCCAGGGGAGACCTGCAGGATTTTTGGAGGGTTCACTGAGCACCCCTTCCCGATAAGCCCCTGGGCCTGAGAAGCTGTCATCTGGGTCACTGCCGTGGGGTGGCCCTGTCCCCAGCTCCCTGGCGCTCCTGAGGGGTGGGAGAGGAAAGTGGGGTGTGTGAGTGTGTGGGTGGGGGGGTGTCTCACCGCTGCTGGGCAAGGCGGCGTGGAAAACCCCCTCGATGGTCTCGCAAGCGCTGCCGTCACCCCCGCATACCCGACACCGGTCCTCCCGCAGGTCGGAGCCGAGCACTCGGTCACAGCCCACGTGCTGGGGGAGGGGGTCGCGCGGGAGAGTCAGGGCATTGCCCCTCCCGCCCCGGGCATCCCCCATCCCCCCGCCACCACCGCCAGGATGCCCGCCCACCTTGCACTCGCCGTTGACGCAAATGTCCACGGTGTCGGGGCGACAGGCAGTGCCGTCCACCACGGCGGCTGCCCGCTCCGTGTAGAAGTTGAAGCCTTCAGCCAGGCAGGTGAGCGAGCAAGCCTTCACGCCGCCTGCAGGGGGCGCTGCGCTCAGCATCGTCATCCCATCACTCACCTGCCACCTGCCCTCATCCCATCACTCACCTGCCACCTGCCCTCATCCCATCACTCACCTGCCACCTGCCCTCCTCCCATCACTCACCTGCCACCTGCCCTCATCCCATCACTCACCTGCCACCTGCCCTCCTCCCATCACTCACCTGCCACCTGCCCTCCTCCCATCACTCACCTGCCACCTGCCCTCCTCCCATCACTCACCTGCCACCTGCCCTCATCCCATCACTCACCTGCCACCTGCCCTCCTCCCATCACTCACCTGCCACCTGCCCTCCTCCCATCACTCACCTGCCACCTGCCCTCCTCCCATCACTCACCTGCCACCTGCCCTCCTCCCATCACTCACCTGCCACCTGCCCTCCTCCCATCACTCACCTGCCACCTGCCCTCCTCCCATCACTCACCTGCCACCTGCCCTCCTCCCATCACTCACCTGCCACCTGCCCTCCTCCCATCACTCACCTGCCACCTGCCCTCCTCCCATCACTCACCTGCCACCTGCCCTCCTCCCATCACTCACCTGCCACCTGCCCTCCTCCCATCACTCACCTGCCACCTGCCCTCCTCCCATCACTCACCTGCCACCTGCCCTCCTCCCATCACTCACCTGCCACCTGCCCTCCTCCCATCACTCACCTGCCACCTGCCCTCCTCCCATCACTCACCTGCCACCTGCCCTCCTCCCATCACTCACCTGCCACCTGCCCTCCTCCCATCACTCACCTGCCACCTGCCCTCATCCCATCACTCACCTGCCACCTGCCCTCATCCCATCACTCACCTGCCACCTGCCCTCATCCCATCACTCACCTCCCCGGTAGGTCTTCCACGTGTAGAATTTCCCCCGGAAGGGGATGCTGTCAAACTCCGAGCACTGCATCTCCCGGAAGTCCTGGGAGCCTGGGGGGCAGTCCTGGGGGAGCAGGGGACCAGATGAGGGAGGATGGATTTGGGGGTCTGGGGGTGGGAGGCAGCTGGGAAGGGCCAGGAAAGACTGGGCGGCGGTGGTCTGGCCTCACCCCAGCTGCTCCCTAAGAGAGGACCAAGGTCCCACACTGGCAGGAGGGAGACTGGGCAAGCCATTTCTGGCTCAAAAAGTCCTCCCTATCGGGGCTGGAGCGACAGCACAGCGGGGAGGGCATTTGCCTTGCACACGGCCGGCCCGGGTTCGATTCCCAGCATCCTATAGGGTCCCCTGAGCACCGCCAGGAGTAACTCCTGAGTGCATGAGCCAGGAGGAACCCCTGTGCATCGCCGGGTGTGACCCAAAAAGCAAAAAAAGAAAAAAAAAGTCCTCCCTATTCTCCCAGGATGGGAGATGCATGCAGAAAGTAGACAATAGACCAAACATGATTGCCACTCAATGCCTCTTTTGCAAACCACAAACCACAGCACCCAAAAGGAGAGAGAGAACAAAAGGGAATGCCCTGCCACAGAGGCGGGGTGGGATGGGGGGTTGGGGGGTGGGAGGGATACTGGGAACATTAAAAAAAAAGTACTCCCTCCACTTCATCGCGAACATGCTACTTTCTTCAGCAAACCAAAACGGGAAAAAATACCCCCCCCAAGACCCCTCAACTTAGGGCCAGAACCATAGTACAGAGGGTAAGGCTGACCCGGGTTTGGGTTCTAGCATCCCATATGGTCACGTGATCTCTGCCTGAAGTAAGCCCCCAGCACCCACCACTGGGTGTGGTCCCCAAACCAACAAAATCTCAGCTATAGGGGCTGGAGCAATAGCACAGTGGGTAGGGTGTTTGCTTTGCACGCGGCCGACCCGGGTTCAATTCCCAGCATCCCATATGGTCCCCCGAGCACCGCCAGGAGTGATTCCTGAGTGCAAAGCCAGGAGTAACCCCCGAGCATCGCCGGGTGTGACCCAAAAAGCAAAAAAAAAAAAAAAAATCTCAACTATAAATAACTTTGTAAACCAGGGGGCCTTGATGAAATCAATTATTTTTGTTTTGTTTTGGGGGTCACATCTGGCGCTGCTCAGGGCTCTTGTACTGATTCCTGGCTCTTGTACTCTGGGATCACTCCTGGTAGGGGTCATATGCAGTTCTGGAGATTGAAACCGAGTCAGCCGAGTGCAAGGCAGGTGCCCTTCCTGCTGTACTCCCTCTCTGGCCCTTTTATTTATTTTTAATATTTTGCCACATTTACTTTTAATTGAATCACAGTGATATACACAGTTACAAAGTTGTTCATGATTGAATTTCAGTCGTATAATATTCCAACACTTGTCACTTCATCAGTGTACTTTTTTTTTTTTTTTTGCTTTTTAGGTCACACCTGGCGATGCACAGGGGTTATTCCTGGCTCTGCACTCAGGAGTTACTCCTGGCAGTGCTCAGGGGACCTATATGGGATGCTGGGAATCGAACTCATCAGTGTACTTTTCCCCCCAACAATCACTTGATCACTTGACGTCCCGTTATTGATCAATTTGCTCAAGCAGGCGCCAGTAACGTCTCCATTCGTCCCTGTCGCGTGCTAGTGTAGCCCAATGGTGTCTGCTCATTCTAGGAACATGAAGAGCCTCAAACCGATGGGTCAGGGTCTTGAACAATGGTCCCCCCAACAATGGTCCCAGTTTTCTAGTTTCCCTCCCATCCACCCACCCTGTCCCACCGTCTCTATTTTTCCTCTCTCTCTCTCTCTCTCTCTCTCTCTCTCTCTCTCTCTCTCTCTCAATTTCTCAAATTTAGGGCTATAGAGAGAGCACAGCAGACACCTGGGGCGCTCAAGGCCAACCGAGGTTCGATCCCTGGCTCCCCAAGGTGACCCCGAGCCCCAGCAGGAGTGATCCCTGAACAGGAGTTAGCTCCGAGCACTGCCAGGTGTGGCTCCCATCTTTTTCTTTTTAAAGGAGGGACGTGGACTCTGGGATGTGGCTGAAAGAAAAAAATGGAGCAGAATTCTGGCTGGAGCCTCCCCCCCGAAATAAGAAATATGTGGACAGAGGAGATGGAAGAGGCAGCTGGCTAGACTGGGGCGAGTGTGGGCGAGGCACGAGTTTCACGTGGGGGTTGAAAAGAAATTCGGGGGGTTCTCTAAGCTGTAAATGGAGGGGGGCTCTGTAGGTGGGGAGGGGTGCTTGGGATTGATCAGCGACTTTAAGGTGTTAGCCTCGTCTCGCCGAAAGCACCACAAGTGGGGCTGGAGTGATAGCACAACGGGTAGGGCGTTTGCCTTGCATGCAGCCAACCCGGGTTCGATTCCCAGCATCCCATAGGGTCCCCTGAGCACCGTCAGGAGTAACTCCTGAGCGCAGAGCCAGTAGTAACCCCTGAGCATCGCCGGGTGTGACCCAAAAAGAAGAAAAAAAAGTACCAGAAGAAGGGGCTGGAGAGATAGCACAGCGGGTAGGGCGTTTGCCTTGCACGCGGCCGACCCGGGTTCGATTCCCAGCATCCCATAGGGTCCCCTGAGCACCGCCAGGAGTAACTCCTGAGTGCAGAGCCAGGAGTAACCCCTGAGCATCGCTGGGTGTGACCCAAAAAGCAAAAAAAAAAGTACCAGAAGGAACCAGATTCTGGGGAGTAGCAAAGGGGACCCCATCACCTGACCCCCCCAAAATATGGGGGCGTCTAGGGGAACCCCCACTCGGATCCTGGGGGTCGGGGGTACTCACGTCAGTGTTACAGGAACGGTGTCTCCGCCTCTCACCCAGACAGTACCTGCCCCCGATGGTTGGCCTGGAAACGGGGACGGGAGACCTGAGAGATGGCAGGGGGCTGGGGCCCTCACCCACCTACTTGCAGGAAGTCCCCAGAGCCCACCTGGGGCTGTCGCAGTGCCGGCTGGATGAGGACACTCCGCCGCCACACGTCCGGCTACAGTCACCCCACGGGGACCATGGACCCCAGGCTCCATCCACACCCTCCGGCCGCGACCCAAAGGGGACACAAACCCTTTTGTAGCACCACTGCGGGTGGGGGGGTGGGGTGAAAGGGGATCTTCAGACTCTGCACGCCCCTTCGTACCCTCCACCCACCCGACCCCCAGGACTCAACCCCCTCCCCCAGTAAAATACAGCGGATGCCTTTGATCAGGAAAGGGGCGTGGCCCTGGGCAGCCCTTGGCATGATGGAAATGATACTGATCAGCGTGGGGGCGTGGCCAGGGACAACTGGGGGTGTGGCCTGAGAGCTGGGGGCGTGGCCAGGGACAACTGGGGGTGTGGCCTGAGAGCTGGGGGCGTGGCCAGGGACAACTGGGGGTGTGGCCTGAGAGCTGGGGGCGTGGCCAGGGACAACTGGGGGTGTGGCCTGAGAGCTGGGGGCGTGGCCAGGGACAACTGGGGGTGTGGCCTGAGAGCTGGGGCGTGGCCAGGGACAACTGGGGGTGTGGCCTGAGAGCTGGGGGCGTGGCCACGGGGTGTGGGCGGGGCCCCGCCTTGGGTTCACACTCACCCCCTTGTCTATGGTGCGGGTCTGGCAGATGGTGCCCTCCGCGGCCGGGATGCTGTTGGTGATGCAGCGGTTGCTCTTGCTCAGACACCACAGCTCGCTGCAAACCTCCTGCGGGCCAAGGTGCCTGCTCAGGCTCTCGTCCCCCGCCTTTTCTTTCTCCCTTGGGCAGCCCGCCCAGCTCACGAGGACCCCGGCCACTGCGCACTGCAGGCCAGCCAGGGGCGCCCTCGGTGGTCTGTCCCGTGTTGCATCATCTCCACTCGGGCGCGTCATAACCACCCCGTCCCCCCTGATTTTACTGTGTGTGAGGGGGACTAGACCCTTAGCTGGCTTTGTAGAGATGGCACAGACGGGCAGCCTGGGTTTTAAGGTCGTCTGGAGGACGGGCAAGGGGGTCAGAGGGCTGGAGGGCACCTCCTTAATTCCCAGAGCCAGGAAGAGCCTGCCAGCACTGTCACTCAATCAAAAAAAAAAAACGAACGAGAATTCTAACCCAGGGACCAAGTGGGTAGGGTGCCTGCCTTGCATGCAGTTTACCTAGGGTTCAATCCCTGGCACTGCATATGCCCCCCCCTAAGCCTGCCAGGAGTGATCTCTGAGAGCAGAGCCAGTTTAGTAAACCCGGAGCACCACTGGGTGTCACCCAAAACAAAAAAGGGGCTGGAGCGATAGTACAGCGGGTAGGGCATTTTTGCCTTGCATGTGGCCGACCCGGGTTCGATCCCCAGCATCCCATGTGGTCCCCTGGCACTGCCAGAAATAATTCCCAGGGACTGGAACAATAGTACAGTGGGTCGGGCGTTTGCCTTGCATGCAGCCAACCCGGGTTCGATTCCCACATCCCACATGGTCCCCTGAGCACTGCCAGGAGTAATTCCTGAGTGCAGAGCCAGGAGTAACCCCGAACATGACTGAGGGTGACCCAAAAGGAAAAAAAGAAAGAAAGCTTTCATTGCTGGAAGGTTATGAAGGGACAAAGTTGCGGTGTGCTTGTGTGGGAGATGGTTCTCCGTGCCCCAAGGAAAAACCAGTCTCCCTCTCCCGACCTGCACCCCGCTTGGACCAGCCCACGCCCTGGCACTGCGTGTAGGTACCGCCAGATACTGGGTTTCACCCAGGGGACCAGCCACTCTGCTCCTTTGGGTTCCGATGAGTGAATGTCACCGGCTTCTGGTCTAACATCTCAGACACCCCTTCCCACCCAATCTTCTTTGTGTCTTCCCTCTGAGGTAGCACAGGGTTAAAGGCACTGGCCTTGTATGTGGCCTATCCCGGACCACCACACTGGGGACCCTGGAGCACTGCCAGGATTCCCCAACCCCCCCCCCCCCAAATGTGAGAGATTTACTTTTTTTTTTCTTTTTGGGTCACACCTGGCAATGCACAGGGGTTAGGGTTACTCCTGGCTCTGCACTCAGGAATTACTCCTGGCAGTGCTCAGGGGACCATATGGGTTTCGGGAATTGAACCCGGGTTGGCTGCGTGCAAGGCAAACGCCCTACCCACTGTACTAGTCTTCCAGTCCCTGGGATTTGCTTCTTTAGGTGTCCCAGGCTTTTCCTGTTCCGTTAGGGGCTCTGGGGATGGAGGTTCAAGCCAAGGTCAGCTTCAGAGCTTTGGTCACTCAAGGACTGAGGGCTGAGAATCTCATGATCCGGCCTGTGGGGCTCAGGGACTAGCCTCTGTCCAGTTTCTGGCCAAGTGGGGAAGATGGTTCAATCCCAGGCAAGTGGCTTGTGGCAGTATCTGGATGTTTTGTTAAAAACTGCCTGGGGGGGAGGGGCGGCTGGAGAGATAGCACAGCGGGTAGGGCGTTTGCCTTGCACGCGGCCGACCTGGGTTCGATTCCCAGCATCCCATAGGGTCCCCTGAGCACCGCCAGGAGTAACTCCTGAGTGCAGATTCAGGAGTAACCCCTGTGCATCGCCAGGTGTGACCCAAAAAGAAAAAAAAACTGCCTAGGGTGGAGGAGTGAGCTGGGGGAGTGAGACGGGGTGAGGGGGGAGGCGGTGGCGGGCATCCCTGTCTGGCCTGAATGAGACTCTGGGTTGTATCCCAGGCATTGCATGTACCCCCCCCCCCCCCGCCCCACTGCCCTCAGCTCTCTGGGTATGGATCCCCAATACCAACAAATAGCCCTCCCCTCCCAATAAAATAGAGGCTGGAAGTTAGTCCAGTAGGCTTTGCATGCAGGAACTGAGCTTCCACTTGTGGTACAGCAAAGTCCCCCAAACCGTCAGTGGTAACTCTTGAACTCCTAGTTAGCAAGCTGGCTGTGACCCCCCGCCCCCAACAAAAAAAAAAAAAAAAGGAAAAAACAGCCCTTCTCCCAAATCTGGCTTCCGCTGTGGGATCCTGAGGCCAGCGTCCTCTTCCAGCCCAGCCTCCAAGTCTGGAGCTCAGAGCCCTGAGTTTGATTCCCAGCTCCAGAGGTCCCTGAGCACCTCCGGGTGTGGTCCTGGGTCCCCACCACCGCTGGGCTTGAGCATCATCAGGAATGGCCCCTAGGAGCCCCCCCCCCATCAAGGGTCTGGAAAACCTGGAGCCCCCTTCTTGCTTGCTCGTGATGGATCTCTGCATCCCACGTACCCTGGTCCCAGCTCCCCGGGACGGCTCAGCCCGTTTCCTGGCTCTCCCCATCCCCGCCCCGCCCGTCCCCGCTGCGGCCCCACCGCGGTGGGTCTCGGCCCTCCCCTCCCAGGAAGGAAAGCAGGAAGGCTCTCTCTACCCCGAATTTACACTGACGCGATTTGACGCCATGCTGGAAGCGGCACTGCTCGTCCGCGTCGTAGGCCTGGCCGGGCGCCACCGTCGGGTACACGAAGTCCTGCCTGGGGGGCCGGTTGTTGAGGCAGAGCCCCAGGCCCGAGCTGCAGGGAGAGGGCGCCGATGTCAGGCCCAGGGGGCTGAAAGCTCTGGGGCTGCTGGATGGGTGAGTGACAGCGCCCCGTTCGCCACGCCCTCCCATCATGCCCCGCCCCCTCTGTCCCTCAGCCCCGCCCCTAATGCACCCACTCCACTCCCAGCCCCGCCCATCCATCATGCCACGCCCCTCTGCCCCTTAGCCCCGCTCCTACTCCACCCACTCCACTCCCGGCCCCGCCCTTCCACTATACCACGCCCCCTTAGCCCCGCCCCCACTCCACCCACTCCACTCCCAGCCCCGTCCATCCGTCATGCCACGCCCCCTCTGCCCCTTAGCCCCGCCCCTACCCACCCACTCCACTCCCAGCCCCGCCCATCCGTCATGCCACGCCCCTCTGCCCCTTAGCCCCGCCCCTACCCCACCCACTCCACTCCCAGCCCGCCCATCCGTTATGCCACACCCCCTCTGCCCCTTAGCCCCGCCCCTACTCCACCCACTCTACTCCCAGCCCCGCCCATCCGTCATGCCACGCCCCTCTGCCCCTTAGCCCCTACCCCACTCCACTCCCAGCCCCGCCCATCCGTCACGCCCCGCCCCTCTGCCCCTTAGCCCCGCCCCTACCCCACTCCACTCCCAGCCCCGCCCATCCGTTATGCCACGCCCCCTCTGCCCCTTAGTCCCGCCCCTACACCAACCACTCCACTCTCAGCCCTGCTTATCCATCATGCCACGCCCCCTCAGCCCCGCCCCTACACCACCCACTCCACAGCCCACCCGCCATCCTATACCCCGCCCCTTCATCATACCACGCCCCCTCTGCCCCTTAGTCCCGCCCATCCATTATGCCACGCCCCCTCTGCCCCTTAGTCCCGCCCTACACCACCCACTCCACGCCCCACCCATCATCCTATACCCCGCCCCTCCATCATACCACGCCCCCTTAACCCCGCCCCTACTCCACCCACTCCACTCCCAGCCCCGCCCATCCATTATGGCATCCCCTCTCTTCCCCTTAGCCCTGCCCCTACACCACCCAGTCCACTCCCAGCTCCGCCTATCCATTATGCCACGCCCCCTCTTCCCCTTAGCCCCGCCCCTACACCACCCACTCCACTCCCAGCCCCGCCCATCCATTATGCCACGCCTCCTCTGCCCCTTAGTTCCGCCCCTACCACACCCACTTCCAGCCCCGCCCATCCATCATGCCACACCCCTATGCCCCTGAGCCCCGCCCCTACTCCACCCACTCCACTCCCAGCCCCGCCCATCCATTATGGCATCCCCTCTCTTCCCCTTAGCCCTGCCCCTACTCCACCCACTCCACTCCCAGCTCCGCCCATCCATCAAGCCACGCCCCTCAGCCCCGCCCCTACTCCACCCACTCCACTCCCAGCCCCGCCTATCCATTATGCCACGCCCCCTCTGTCCCTTAACCCCGCCCCTACTCCACCCACTCCACTCCCAGCTCCGCCCATCTATCAAGCCACGCCCCTCAGCCCCACCCCTGCACCGCCCACTCCACTCCCAGCCCCGCCCACCACCCATACCCCGCCCCCTCGTGCATGCCCCGCCCCCCCATCCTCACTCCAGGAAGCTGGTGATATAGTCTCGGCTGCAGGAGGACCACACGAAGGGGTTGGTCTTCATGGTGATGTGGGCAGCCATGAGCTTCGCGGGGTCCTGTCCCCGGGCCCCACAGCTGTTGCCCACACCGTCGTGGTTCATGCCAAACCTGGGCAGAGCGGCCCGGGGAATGCGGTTCAGTGGGAGGGCGTCTCGTCCCACCCATGCACCGCCCTGACTTCCATCCCGGCTCCACACGTCCCTTTTCTCCCCCACGGTGTGAAGGGTGTGGCTCTGAGCACCCCTGGGAGTCCGCTGCCCAGCACCAAAGAGAGAGCGAGCAGGCTGGAGAGATAGTAATGTGGGTGGGGCATTTGCCTTGCACGCCATCGATCTGACACAGCGTTTGGTCCCAAAGCGCCGCCCCCAGGAATAATACCCGAGCACGGCTGGGTGCGACCCAAAACCAAAAGTAACAAAACAAAAAAAGGGGAACCCGAAGGGGAGGCAGGGATTTGATTCGAAGGCCCGAAGTCATGGGGCTGGAGCGATAGCACAGCGGGGAGGGCGTTTGCCTGGCACGCGGCCGACCCGGGTTCGATTCCCAGCATCCCATATGGTCCCCCGAGCATCGCCAGGAGTGATTCCTGAGTGCATGAGCCAGGAGGAACCCCTGTGCATCGCCGGGTGTGGCCCAAAAAGCAAAAAACCAAAACAAAAAAAACCCCAAAGTTAACCTTGGTTTAGTCGCGTTATTGGGCCCGAGCGCCGCTAGCCCCGCCCCATCAAGCCCCGCCCCATCAAGCCCCGCCCCTCAGGCCCCGCCCCTCCAGGCCCCGCCCCCGCCTCACGTGTGGCCAATCTCGTGCGCGATGGTGAAGGCCGTGGCCAGGCCTATGTCCTCATTGATGCTGCAACTTCTCTCTCGCTCACACATCCCCCCGACGGGGGCCAGGCCTGGGAAATGTGGGTGCCAGGTGGGGGTCTCAGTGAAGCGCTGGGGGGGGCTCTCTTTCCTCCCGTCCGCCACCCGCACCTCTCCCCACCCCGTCCCACAGCTCGGGGGTCACCCAGTGAGGGGCATCAGTACCTAGGGTGCCGCAGGGTTTGTTCTTGTAGATGCAGATGTCGTAGCTGCAGGAAGAAGGCAGTAAGGGGGCTGGGGTCAGCCCGCTGCGCCCCGGAAGCTGTCAGCCAGGCTTGCAGATGACCGACTGAATGACCCACCGATGCAAGGAATGCTTGTGGGTCTCTGCGCCTAAAGGCGCCAGCACTGCCCCTCCCCCATATTCTCAGCAGCTGTAACCCCCTGCCTTCCCAGCCGTTCTATCTCTCCCAGCAAAAGTGACCCCTGCTTTGGGGGGCCAGGCTGCACCCGGCGATGCCCAGGGCTTACTCCTGGCTCTGCACTCGGCAATCACTCTTGGCAGTGCTCCGGGGACTCTGGATGTCGAGGATCGAACCCGGGTCAGCTCCATGCAAGTGCCTTTTACCCGCCATCCTAGCATTCAGCCCTGTGCCCCACCCCACCCCCCATGACCCCCGCGGGTTCCCCTCACCGCGTGATGAGCACCGCAGTGTCGTGGTTGGCTACGCCGTTCTCGGGGATGGCATTGCCGTGGCCACCGCGGTTCACGATGGATTTCTGCCACTTACAGAAACTGTCCAGGGACTTTCCGGCATGGTGGGTGATCTCCAGGGTGGGCTGAGGATGGAGCGAGGGGTGGCGAGGCGGAAGAGAGTCAGGTGCCCGGTGGGGGGCATCCATCCCGGGGAGGGCGGCAGGGGGAGCCCGCTCAGGTAGGGGGGTGGGGACCTCGCACCTGGTCCTCGGTCAGCAGGATGAGGCGCGTCACCTGGATATTGATGATGTTTCCCAGACTCGAGTCCTGGAACAGTCTGGCAACCTGACCTCCAAGAAACAAGAGAGACCGAGTCTTAAGAGGCGCCCAGGACCTGCTCCGAGACAGCACAGTGGGGAAGGCGTTTGCCTTGCACATGGGGGTTCGATCTCTAGCACCCCATAGGGTCCCCTGAGCACCACCAGGAGTAGTAATTCCCAAGCTACAGAGCCAGGAGGAACCCCTGAGCATCACCAGGTGTGACCCCAAAAGCTGAAACTAGAGGTACCCAGAGCAGAACAGGAAAACCTGTCACAATGGCAGCACAAGGAACCATGAGAGAAGCGCTGTGCTCTGGTTCCATTGGCCCACCGTGGTCCCCTGACGCACAGGGCAGTGAGGATTGGTGGTGTGGGGCCAGAGATAGGACAGGGTTTAAGGTGAGTGCCTGGCATGCAGCGGATCCCGGTTCTATCCCAGGCACTGAAAGGGTCCCCGGAGTACCACCAGGGATCGCTGCTGAGCACAGAGCCAGGAAGCGCCCCTGGGCACTCCACTCTCCCACCCCAGAAACAAACATAGTACAGCTGGTAGGGTGCCATGCCTTGCATGCAGGCGAACTGGGTTTGATCCCTGGCACCCTATTTGGTTCCCTGAACCCTGCCAGGAGTAATTCCTGAGTGCAGAGCCAGGAGTAAGCCCTGAACATTGCTGGGTGTGACCCCAAACCAAACCAAACCAAACCAAAAAACCCACAAACCCCAGGTAAGCCTACTTGCCAACTGCCTGGCACTGACCCTCCCCGCGGGGGACCACTCTATTCTGCATGGCCTCACGCACCTCAGCGGGTCTGTTCGCCAGGGAGCACCACTCACCCCTTTCTCACCTTCTGGCTGCCCTGCGGGTCTAGAGGTAGGGGACCAGCCAGGGGAAGGAGCACATCTGGCCTCAGCCCGCTGCCTGATGGTCCCCGTGTGATTATCACTGAGATGTGTGGGACCACAGGAGGGACAGGAAGTTGGGAGAGAGGTGACAAAGGAGGATGTGGTGGAGGGGTGAGTAGTTACCAATGAAACACTTGCAGAGATCGCGGAGCCTGGGGCGCCTTCCCCAGGCCTCACTGCACCCCGAAACCCGGGTAAGTTTTAGGGAACGTGGAATAAGGCAGGGCTAGGAACGGAAGCAGTGGTAGAGAGAATCGTTTTGTTTGCTTGTTTTGGGGGTCACACTCAGTGCTCGGGGATCACTCCTGGCAGGGCTTGGGGACCTTTATGCCGTGCCAGGGATCGAACCCGTGTCGATTGATCACACTCAAGGCAAGCACCCCTGGTCTGTCTCTCCAGCTCAAGGACCGGGTTTCAGGTCTACGACATTACACCACCCACACATCACAGTGCTTTGCAGATGGGTAAACGGAGGTAGAGAGCTCGTGCATTCATTTGCTCCCAGGCAGGCTACTACCCACGAGGCAGAGGTTTGGGAAGCCAGAGAGAGCGAGTTTAATACAGTGACTTGGGGCTGGAGCGATAGCACAGCGGGTAGGGCGTTTGCCTTGCACGCGGCCAACCCGGGTTTGATTCCCAGCATACCATAGGGTCTCCTGAGCACTGCCAGGAGTAACTCCTGAGTGCAAAGCCAGGAGTAAGCCCTGTGCATCGCTGGCTGTGACCCAAAAAGAAAAAATATATTTATTTTAGGGGCTGAAGTGATAGCACAGCGGGTAGGGCGTTTGCCTTGCACGCGGCCAACCCGGGTTCGATTCCCAGCATCCCATGTGGTCCCCTGAGCACCGCCAGGAGTAACTCTTGAATGCAGAGCCAGGAGTAACCCACAGGTTTGACCCCAAAAAGAAAAAAAAATACAGTGACTACAGGCTTCGCGGGCAGAAGGACCAAGTTTATCCCCAAAATACCGTAACATCTGACACCAAAACTCTCCCTTAAGTGGAGGGGAAAAAAAAAACAAAAAAAAAAACCGTGGCACTGATTTCTACCCATCTGGGCATGGGTTCCAGCCAGCACTTCCAGCCAGTGGCCTAATTGCATCTTCTCATTGTTGGGGTGCAGAGGAGTGAGGTGGGGGTGACGCCCCTTGTCGGGATCTCTGGAGGCTGGGCTCCAGGATCCCGGGGTTCCACGCCCGGGGAGGAGGGGAGCACTTACAATGTTCATGATAGCCAGCACGTACTGCTCCACGTCGCGGCGCCCGTGGTAAGCCAGCATCATCTTGTCGGCCACCACCAAGGTCTCCACGTAGCGCTCCCGGTTGACGGAGCGTTTCAGACCCGGCTGGCCCCGCTCCGTCTCGTTGCCACCCGCGGGCCGGGCAGGCGGCGGCTTCAGGGTGCGCAGCCACCACGGCCGCCCCTTCCACGGTTTCTCATCTAGAACAGAGCGTGTCTCTGTTAGCGTTCACCGTCAGCCCTGACCCCTCTGCCCGGCGGTTCGGGTTTCTGGAGCCACGGACCGCTGCGTCTCTGCAGCGGTGGGTGCCAGGGCTTTGGAGAGGTGGGTGCCCGGTCTGCGTGCAGGTGGGTGCCTGCGGCTCTGCAGGAGGTGGGTGCCCGGGCTCTGGAGAGGTGGGTGCCTGGGCTGCGTGCAGGTGGATGCCTGCGGCTCTGGAGAGGTGGGTGCCTGGGCTGCGTGCAGGTGGATGCCTGCGGCTCTGCAGGAGGTGGGTGCCCGGGCTCTGGAGAGGTGGGTGCCTGGGCTGCGTGCAGGTGGATGCATGCGACTCTGCAGAGATGGGTGCCCGGGCTCTGGAGAGGTGGGTGCCTGGGCTGCGTGCAGGTGGATGCCTGCGGCTCTGCAGGAAGTGGGTGCCCGGGCTCTGGAGAGGTGGGTGCCTGGGCTGCGTGCAGGTGGATGCATGCGGCTCTGCAGGAAGTGGGTGCCCGGGCTCTGGAGAGGTGGGTGCCTGGGCTGCGTGCAGGTGGATGCATGCGGCTCTGCAGAGATGGGTGCCCGGGCTCTGGAGAGGTGGGTGCCTGGGCTGCGTGCAGGTGGATGCCTGCGGCTCTGCAGAGATGGGTGCCCGGGCTCTGGAGAGGTGGCTGCCCGGGCTGCGTGCAGGTGGGTGCCTGCAGCTCTGCAGGAGGTGGGTGCCCGGGCTGCGTGCACAGCGCCCCCCTGGCGGCGGCCACAGCGAAAAGCTTCTTGATTGACTGATCAGGCCACTGTCTATGCCAGCGCCTTTTTTTTTTTTCAGGGGCTGGGGGGAGCGGATTGTTCTGTTTGGGGGCCACACCTGGCCATGCTCAGGGCTTACTCCTGGCTCTGGGCTCAGGAATCACTCCTGGTGGTGCTCAGGGCACCCTAGGGGATGCCGAGGATCAAACCCAGTTGGCGGTGTGCAAGGCAAACGCTCTACCCGCTGTACTATCGCTCTGGTCCCAGCCCCACAATTCTAACTTCCTGGCCCACCTTTTTTTTTTTTCTTTTTGGGTCACACCCGGCGATGCACAGGGGTTATTCCTGGCTCATGCACTCAGGAATTACTCCTGGCGGTGCTCAGGGGACCCTATGGGATGCTGGGAATCGAACCCCAGGTCGGCTGCGTGCAAGGCAAACATCCTACGCGCTGTGCTATCACTCCAGCCCCCTGGCCCACCTTTTGGCACCTCATTTTCCAGCCAGACTGGCTGCTCATTCAACGTTGCGTTTTTGTTGTTGTTTTGGTGTGGGGCCACACCTGCAGAGCTCAGGGGTCACTCCTAGCTGTGCTCTCGGGACCCTATGGGATGCCGGGATCGAATCCTGGGCAGCCATATGCAAGGCAAAAGCCCTCCCTGCTGTCCTATGGCTTCGTCCCCATCATCCGACCTTCCAGTTGGTGGGCGGCTCTTCCACTGTCCATCAAGGATCACAGGCAAGTGTCCGTGATGACCATGTTCTAGGCAAACTCCCCTGAAGTTGGGGCCAGAGCAATAGTACAGCAGTTAGGGTGTTTGCCGTGCTCACAAGCCGGGCTCAATCCCCGGCATCCCATAGGGACCAATCAGCAACGCCAGGAATCATTCCTGAGTGCAGAGCCAGGAGGAACTCCTAAGCATGCCGGGTGTGACCCAAGAAGCCAAAAAGGAAAAAAGAAAAACTACCCCAAAGTCAGTGTGGTTGGAGAGTTGCAGCCATCGACTCCGGCAGCGGTGGGAGCTGCTTCCTTTTTCTGTATCCCCCAGTAGTCTCATTATGGTTCCCACACCCACCCCCCCCCCCTTGCAGCAGGTGGCGGCGGCCCTCGACAGGGAAATACACCCGCAAACCTCAACTTCAAGGTCAAGATGCCTCGGGGCTGGAGAGATAGCACAGCGGGTAGGGCATTTGCCTTGCACGCGGCCGACCTGGGTTCGATTACCAGCATCCCATAGGGTCCCCTGAGCACCGCCAGGAGTAATTCCTGAGTGCAGAGCCAGGAGGAACCCCTGTGCATCGCCAGGTGTGACCCAAAAAGCCAAAAATAAATAAATAAATAAAATAAATAAATTCTTGGGGCTGGAGAGACAGCACAGCAGGTAGGGCGTTTGCCTTGCACGCGGCCGACCCGGGTTCGATTCCCAGCATCCCATAGGGTCCCCTGAGCACCGCCAGGAGTAATTCCTGAGTGCAGAGCCAGGAGGAACCCCTGTGCATCACCAGGTGTGACCCAAAAAGCAAAAAAAAAGGAAAAAGAAAAAAAAAGAATCCAAAGTCAAGATGACTCCCCTCTTCCCTCCCCCCTCCCCAGACCTACCTCTGACACCACAGGCTGTGTCCAGGTGAGGGTGCCGTAGGGAGGACCGCTTGTACACCACATGGGGGCCGCTCTCCTCTGGACCACGGACCCCTTTGCCCTCCCCATGCAGGGGCTCGATCAAATATTCTTCCTGGTCGGCCACAATTAGGCCATGCTGTGGGGGACAGAACCGAATCTTGGATTAGGGGTTTTCCCAGGAACCTCTGTTCCCCCCCGCCCCCCTCCAGCTATATGATTTCCTTCCTTCCTTCTGTCTTCCTGATGTTAGGTCACGCTACTTTATTTATTTGGCTTTATTCATTTACTTGGCTTCTGGGTCACACTTGGCTGACTCCTGGCTCTGTGCTCAGGGTTCACTTCTGGCAGGGGTTGGGGAAACCCTACACAGTATTAGGGTTTGAACCTGGGTCACCTGCGTGCAAAGCAACTTCCTGTACTATCATTCCAGCCCTCTTTTCTGATATTTGGGGGGGGGGAATCACAAGTTGTGGTGCTGGGGATCACTCCAGACAGTGCTCAAGGGACATGAGAAGCCATGGACTGAAGCAAAGTTGGGCACCTTTACCCCTGCCCTCTCTCTCCACTCTTTTTTTTTTTTTGCTTTTTTGGGTCACACCCGGCAATGCACAGGGGTTCCTCCTGGCTCTGCACTCAGGAATCTCTCCTTGCGGTGCTCGGGGAACCATATGGGAAGCTGGGACTCGAACCTGGGTCGGCTGCGTGCAAGGCAAATGCCCTACCCGCTGTGCTATCACTCTATTTTTTTTTAAATTGTTGGGTCACACCTGGCGATGCACAAGGGTTACTCCTGGCTCTCAGGAATTACTCGTGGCGGTGCTCGGGGGACCATATGGGATGCTGGGAATCAAACCCGGGTTGGCCGCGTGCAAGGCAAATGCTCTCCCCGCTGTGCTATCGCTCCAGCCCCCTCTCTCTCTCCAGTCTTTTCCTTTCTTCTTGTTTTGAGCCATACCCAGCGATGCTCAGGGATTACTCCTGGTTCTGCACTTAGGACTCACTCCCGGCAGTGTTCATGGGACTCTTGGGGGTGCTGGGGATTGAACCCAGGTTGGTCACCCTCAGGCAAGTGCCCTCCCCACTGTACTAGCTCTCCACTTCCTAATTTCTAATTCCTTGAAATGCTCAATGCACATTATTTTACAGCTGGATCTAAGGCTACACATTTTCCTCTCGTGCCTGCTTTGCCTGCATCCTAACACGTCCTGATCAGCTCAAAGTGCTTTTACAGATTTCCTTGGGGAGGGCAAAAGCATCTGCCCTTTGGGGAGTTGAGGATTCATGCAAAGCAAGCATCTGATCCCATGTAGTATCTCTCCATCACTTTTTTTTTAAAAAATATGGAACGCTTCCCGAATTTGCGTGTCATCCTTGTGCAGGGGCCACGCTAATCTTCTCTGTACCGTTCCAATTTTAGTATATGTGCTGCCGAAGCGAGCACTCTCCATCACTTCTGGTTTTTGTTTCTGGGCCTCACCTGGCAGTGCTCTGGGCTTACTTCTGGCTCTGTGCTCAGGGATCACTCCTGGAGGGGGTCAGGGGATCCTATGTGGTACCAGGGTCTGAACCCAGGTTAGCCTCATTCAAGGCAAGAACCCTCCCCACTGTACTATTGCTCCAACCTGGCAAGACATATTTTTCCTTTTTTTTCTTTTTGGGTCACACCCGGCGATGCTCAGGGGTTCCTCCTGGCTCTGCACTCAGGAGTTACTCCTGGCGCAGTGCTCAGGGGACCGTATGGGATGCTGGAAATAGAACTCAGGTCGGCCGCATGCAAGGCAAACGCCCTACGCGCTGTGCTATCTCTCCAGCCCCAAAACATATTTTTCTTATCCCCAGACCTGGGGTCAACCTGCTCTCCCACCCCCACCCTGTTGCCCAGGCCGGCCCACCCCCAGCTCACCAGGCCCCCGCAGGTGCTGACGGCCACCTGGGAGCTGCCCGCGTGGCCCTGCAGGTGGCCGGAGTACAGACAGTGGGGCGTGGCGGCCCGCTGCCAGGCCAGGCCCTTGCGCGTCCAGTACTCCACGGAGATGTGGCCGGCCAGCAGGCCGGGGCTGCGCGTCAGGTTCAGCACGAAGTGGGTGCTGGGGGCTGCCACCTTGTAGAAGAGGTGGGACTCGGAGGAGGCCCCCGCGCCCCGCCGCTGTCTCCGCGGAGCGGGGGGTGAGAAGGCCAGCAGCGCCCCGTTGTGGTCCACTCGCGTGGGGAAGGCGATCTCATAACTCTCTAGGCTGGACAGGAATTCATCTGTGCGCAAGAAACAGGCGGCAAGGCGGCTGCTGGGCGTGGCCTCCTGCTCCCAGGCCCCGCCTCCCGGGCCCTGGGTCCCACCCCCACGCCCGGCCACGCCCAGCCCCAGGCTCCATCTCCTGGCTGTGGGCCCCGCCCCCAGCCTGGAGTCGGAGGTGCTGGGCCCCGCCCCCAGCCTAGGGGGTGAGATGCTGGCCCCCAGCCTGGAGTCTGAGGCACTGGGCCCTGCCTCCAGCCTAGGGGTGAGACTCTGGCCCCGCCCCCAGTCTAGGGGGTCAGACTCTGGCCCCGCCCCTTCCCAGGCCCCGCCCCCAGTCTAGGGGGTGAGACTCTGGCCCCGCCCCTTCCCAGGCCCCGCCCCCAGCCCGGAGTCCGAGGCACTGGGCCCTGCCTCCAGCCTAGGGGTGAAACGCTGGCCCCGCCCCTTCCCAGTCTAGGGGGTGAGACTCTGGCCCCGCCCCCAGCCCAGAGTCCGAGGCACTGGGCCCTGCCTTCAGCTTAGGGGGTGAGACGCTGGTCCCGCCCCTTCCCAGGCCCCAGCCTTGGGCACTACGCTCCGCCCCTTCTCAGGCCCCGCCCCCAGCCTAGGGGGTGAGATGCTGGCCCCGCCCCTTCCCAGGCCCCGCCCCCAATCTAGGGGGTGAGACTCTGGCCCCGCCCCCATCCTGGAGTTGGAGGCACTGGGCCCCGCCCCTAGCCTGGAGTCTGAGGTGCTGGGTCCCACCCCCAGCCTAGGGTGTGAGATGCTGGCCCCCAGCCTGGAGTCTGAGGCACTGGGCCCTGCCTCCAGCCTGGGGGTGAGACGCTGGCCCCGCCCCTTCCCAGGCCCCGCCCCCAATCTAGGGGGTGAGACTCTGGCCCCGCCCCTTCCCAGGCCCCGCCCCCAGCCTGTAGTCTGAGGCACTGGGCCCTGCCTCCAGCCTAGGGGGGGTGAGACGCTGGCCCCGCCCCTAATCCAGGGGGGGTTAGACTCTGGCCCCGCCCCTTCCCAGGCCCCGCCCCCAGCCCGGAGTCTGAGGCACTGGGCCCTGCCTCCAGCCTAGGGGGGGGGTGAGACGCTGGCCCCGCCCCTTCCCAGGCCCCGCCCCCAATCTAGGGGGTGAGACTCTTGCCCCGCCCCTTCCCAGGGCCCGCCCCACCCTGGAGTCTAAGGTGCTGGCCCCGCCTCTTCTCAGGCCCCGCCCCCAATCTAGGGGGTGAGAATCTGGCCCCGCCCCCAGCCTGGAGTGAGAGGCACTGGGCCCTGCCTCCAGCCTAGGGGGTGAGACGCTGGCCCCGCCCCTTCCCAGGCCCCGCCCCCAATCCAGGGGGTGAGACGCTGGCCCCGCCCCTTCCCGGGCCCCGCCCCGCGCACTGAGCCCCGCCCCCCCCAGCCCCAGTCCCGAGCTACCTTGAGACCTGAAGGCCTGTGTGACCTTGAGAGTGAGCCCCAGCCCCAGGGCGAGGGCCCAGCGGAGGATCTGGAAGGCGGGAGCCATAGAGGTCACGTGTCCACATGTCTCTCCCAGCCCCGGCTGCCAGCAGCCCCGCACAGTTGCCGCCTCCCCTGTTCACAGCCTGGGCAGCATCACGGGGCTCCTGGGAAGGCGAAGCCGGGTCAGAAGCGGCGTGGGCGCCTGGACCCCGCGGCCGCCGCATGCTCAGGGTCCTTCTTCCTCCCGCACCTTTAGGGCTCGCAGGGACTCACTGCACGGCAGGGTGTCTTCACGCCAGAACCCTCCCCCAGCCCCCATGCAGCCAGGCTGGCACTTGTGCATATATTTTGTTTGGGGGCCTTACCAGGTGGTGCTCGGGGGACCCTACGGGGCGCTGGGGATCGAACCCCAGCCAGCCGAATGCAAGCAAGGCAAGCGCCCTGCCTTGTACACTGTCTCTGGCCCCTGGCGCAGAGTTTTTGCACGCAGGAGGCGTGGGTCGGATGCCTAGCGCATTAAGGTCCTCTGGGGAGCACTGCAGGAGGAGGGCCCCTCCCTAGCACCCCAGGGTGTGACCTCCTCCACACCAGACCAAAGAAACGGCTGCAAGAGAAGAACCGCCTCTTCTTCTCTCTTTGGTGGGATTTTGGGGCCACACCTGCTGGCTGGTGCTTGGGGCAGTGCCAGGGATCGCCCCCAGCCTACTGGCACGTAGGGCCGAGTAGAGCAAGTGCTCAGCGCTGTCCTGGCCGCCGGAGACCCCTTTATAGAAAGAGGGTGGACTTAGTGGACTTTAGGATTTGCCCCAACCTCAATGGGCTGGGGAAGGGGGGGGGGGCAGGGCTTGGATCACGTGACCAGAAAGGCGGGGTCTATGCAGGTGGAACCCTGGTCCTCACCTCAAGGCTGCACCGGGGCTGCCCGGGAGACCTTAAGGGATGCCAGGGATTGAACTGGGGTCTGCAGGATGCAAGGCAGGAGCCCTGCCCGCTGCCCACGCCGGGGATGTCGCCACCCCAGGCATCTGGGCTTTTGAGACAGCGTCTCCCTCTGTTTCTGCTCTTTGGGGATGGATTCTCCTCTCTGGAAGGTCTGTTTCTCCAGCCTCCATCCCTGCCCGCCACAGACACTGCTCTGGGCCACTCTGGGCCACGGGCCCCCGGCTGCCAAGCCCTCCTCCCACTCCCGTCTCCACCCTCCTCCTCCTCCGTGCAATTTCCCCCTTAATCACACAGTGTCTTGTTTTCTTTGTGGCCCGGCCAAGTCTGAGAGTCGATTCCCCAAACAGCTCCGGAGGGACCGAGCCAGCTCCTCCACGAAATGCCGACTTGGAAGCCTGCGTTTCCCCCCCACCCCTGTCCGCGTGTCTGTGCCGACACTCCCCACCTCTTCTTGGACCCCTCCAGCGACGGGGAGCTCACTCCCAGACACCCAGTGACCCCGCCGCTCCCTTCTGCGGGGTCCACCCCGATCTTGTTTTTAGGAGTGGCAGGGGGGCTGATTTATATCTTTATTACCTCTCAGGAGGGCTTCTGGAGGTGGTGTGGTAGGAGCCCCCCAGGCTGGATAGTTCCTCTCCGCGAACCTCAGGGGTGGCGTCTTCTGGGGAGCTGTGTGTGACCGGGAGGAGCCCAGGCCCTCTTTAGGAGCTGGATTCAGGGGGCCCTGCGGAAAAACCCCACCCTTGTCCCCGCCCCTGGCCAGCCCCCTCTGGGTCACATTTGCTCCCAATCACCTCCTGGAAATACACCCTCCTCCCCGCCTTTACCTCCCCCTGCACCCCGTCTCCTCTGACCTCCTGTCCCAGAGAGGGGGACAAAGTCCTCCCAGATCTGGGCTCTCCGGAACCCCCACCTGTGCCTCCCTCCAACCACCTTGTGGTGCAGGTGGGATGTGAGGGAGCACTCCGGGGAGGAGGGAGAGCATCGGGATTACTGGTCCAGCCCTTGGGATGGCTGGGGAGTATGGCCTGGGGGTGGGGAGGGAGTGGGGACTCTGGGGGGGACCCAAGTGGGTCTGGTGATAGATGGGGCCTGGGGGGGGTTGATTGGAGGGTTCCAGACCGGAAGGGTGGGCCTGGCTGGGGCAGGAGGGGGGTGGGGAAGAGATGTCTGCAGAGGGCGGAGTTCCAGTGTGTGTGCATGTGTATGTGTGTGTACCATGTGTGTGTGTACTGTGCATGTGTGTGTGTGTGTGTACACACGCATGTGTGTCCTGGCACTCTCTTGCTCTCTCAGGAAAATCTGTGTCACTGGCCGGGTGTGTGATGGATGTTGTGATTGTTGATGTGAATGCCTGGGACGGGGTGTGTGTGTGTGTGTGTGTGTGTGTGTCTGTGTGTGCGCCCAGGCCTGGCCAGTCGCCCCAGCCTCTCCTCCCAGAAGGCAGGAGGGAGGGGGCGCTGGTGGTGGTGGTGGGGGGGGGGGGAGGGCCCCCAGCGGCAGGAGGAAATGCCACGGGGAAATGACCCAGGGCCCGGCTCCATCTCCTGCCCCCTGGCACCCCAGAGGTTGGAGAGCAGCACAGACCCCCCCCGCCCCCCCACACACACACTCCCCGTGGAGCCCAAGGCAGCCTCCACCCAGGCCCTGCACATCTGGGCAGGCAGGAGCCGGACAAAGGCACCCGCAGAGGCAGCAGGAGAAGAAGGGGGTGAGGGGGCCGGCGGGGCCCCAGCGGGCTCCCCCCAATCCTGCCGCTAATTAAAGGCCAGGAGCGTTGGGGCTGGGGGGTCCCCCACAGACAGGCAGCCGTGGCCTCCCACGCCCACAGACACACAGTGACAGCGGCCCCCTCCTCCCTGGGGACACCACACCTGCGCAGCCGGAGCCTGGGGACGCCACCAACCCCCTCCCCGGCCTCCCCCGCCGCCGCCGCCACGCATCCCAGACGCCTCGCGAGGTCCCCATCACAGCCACCCAGAGACACGTCCACACTCGGGGCCACGCTCCCAGCCCGGACACCGCTTGGAAAGCGCCGGAACTTGGCAGGGCGCCCGCCGGAGCCCAAGGACACGCGCGCGCGCGGGTGCGCGCACGGTGCCGTGGCCACACACGGGGAGGGGGAGGAGGGGCCGCCTCGGGGGCGCGCTCACCCCGAGACCCTCCCCCCCCCAGAAGCCCCCCAGCTCCCCCCGCACCAAGCCCTCCGAGGGGCTGTCACGGCGCCCACGCGCGCGCGGACACGGACGTGGGCGCGCCCCTGCCCGCGCGCTCGCTCCTTCTCTCGCTCCCGCGCGCCCCGCCGCACCCCCGACCTGGGGACACCGCGCCGCGACCCCCCCCAGCCCCAGCCCCGACCGCGATCGCGGCGCGCGCGGACACACAAAGGCGCCCCTCGCGGGGGCCCCCCATTACCGCGCCCGCCCGGCCGCCGTCCGCCGCCGTCTCGCCGGCCCCGCGCGCAGGAAGGGCGGGAGGGAGCAGGGGGCGGGCGCGGCGGCGTGGCCGGGGGAGGGGGCGCGGGGCCGCCACTTCCTGAGCCTCCTGCCAGGCTGAGAAGAGAGAAGAAAAAAAAAAAAAAGAAAGGAAGAAAAAAAAAAAACAAGAAAAACCCCAAACCGCGCGCGCCCAGAAACCCCGCCCGCCCGCCCGCCCGCCGTCCGGCCTGGGCCGCGGGTTGGACCCTCGCCAGGACCCCCGGGAGCTGGGGGGCCGCCCCGCCCCGCAGTGGGGGCTGGGGTGGGGGGCGGGGAGATGTGGATGCGAGGGGGGACGGGGAGGGAGAAGCCGGGATGGGGGATGGGGGAGGATGTTGGAGCCCGGGGATTTGGGGGGATGCTGGGGAGAATTAGGAGAAGGGGAGAAAGCTTTGGGCAGGGGTGAGAGGGGATGAGGGCAGGGGGGAGGCAGGGGTGTGGGGGAGAGAGAGGTGGAGTCCAGGGGGAAGGGAAGGAGTGGAAGGGCGCCGCTGTACCGACAACAGCTGTTATTTATTGAGAGCCAGTCTGCCCCCCCTCCCCACCCAGTGGGCGGTGGGCACCTCCCGTGTGCGCCAGGCGCGGTGCCCAGCGCGGCGCAGAGCCTTCCCCGACGGGCCCCCCCCGCCCTGCTCTGTGAGACCGGCCTGCCTGGTCCCACTTCACAGGAGAGAAAACTGAGGCCAGAGGGTGCCCGGGAAGGAGGATGCCTTTGGAGAGGCAGATGGGGCGCGCGGAGAGTGAGCGCACAGCTGTGGGGCGCACAGCCACAGGGCACTCCAGTCCTGGTCCCCAAGGAGCCCGCAGAGTCTCAAGAGATTCTTGACGGATGGGTGGGTGTGGAGGAACTGAGACAGCCGTTCCTGGGGAGGGGGGCGGGCGCGGCTCAGGGGGTTGGGCCCCCACCTCCCTGGTGGTGGTGTTTTTTTTTTTTTTTGCTTTTTGGGTCACACCCGGCGATGCACAGGGGTTCCTCCTGGCTCTGCACTCAGGAGTTACTCCTGGCGGTGCTCAGGGGACCATATGGGATGCTGGGAATCGAACCCGGGTCGGCCGCATGCAAGGCAAACGCCCTACCCGCTGTGCTATCGCTCCAGCCCCCGTGGTGGTGTTTTGTCCCGAGCGTGGGGCGATCAGGGATTTGGGGTTCAAATGCCACTTCCGCAATACCAGACTCGGCAGTTTCTTTCTTTCTTTCTTTCTTTCTTTCTTTCTTTCTTTCTTTCTTTCTTTCTTTCTTTTGTTTTTTGGGTCACACCTGGCGATAAACAGGGGTTACTCCTGGCTCTGCACTCAGGAGTTACTCCTGGCGATGCTTGGGGGACCATATGGGATGCCAGGGATCGAACCCAGGTCGGCCGCGTGCAAGGAAAACGCCCTACCCGCTGTGCTATCGCTCGGGCCTCAGACTCTACCCTCAGTTTCTACCAGCTTCCTCGCCAGCCAGGTGAAAGGGCAGAGTTTGCTCCCCCCTGACCTCCTTGGCCACCTGAGGAGTGGATCTAAGTCAGTCCCACCAGGGGTGCGGCCGGGGACCCTGAAGTCCCTTCATCACCCCCTTGGAGAGGTGGTTGCCTTGTGTGTTAATTTTTTAATTTCCACATGCACCACGCCTTACAGTGCTGTTAATGTGGGGTTTCCGGTGCCAGTCACTCCAGCACCGCACCCACCAGTGCCCCCCTTCCCTCCACAGATGTCCCAGTGTCCCCCCTCCCCCTCTGACTTCTCCCCCTCCCCCGAAGTTTCCAACCCAAGACCAATTCTCCATT